ACCATTCGACCTAGACCACTAAAGAAACTACCAATACCGTGTCCTCTCTGGTTTCGTCCACCGATAAAAACGGGTAAACAATCACCGTACTGGTTACAGTAAAAATCTTCGTACAATTTAGGGTTACGGTGTAAAAGTGTGTGTTTCACCATGGTGTGAGTTATTCCAGATCGAAATGTTTACGTGTTCTAAAATGGAGTGTCAACACTGACGTTCCACTTGTGAATGAGAGTGTTTGTCCCAACTCGTCGCATAAAAGTATTTCCATAGTGTCGAATGAAAATCGGTTCAGGGGATGTAGTGGGGTTTGTCGTAAATACGAAATACGGAACTTGGTTTCTTCTCAACGATCGGTACGGTCCGAAGCAAAGGGACCATGACATCACCAACCGGTCTCGTTTTTACGAGGTCACAATAGACGAATACTGTTTTTACTTCGTCTTCAGCGAGATGTTTCTCTCAAACTCTACCAGGAACATGCAAATAGCCTGTCAACATGTCACGGACGGTACTTTCTATTCCCGCCGCAATTACTTTTACGACAACTTTTTTAAATCCCTTGTTACAGTTTGAAGTTATAACTTCCACTTTTCCTTCATCTACCCCTCTCTTTACTAGTTTTTTTATAGAGTTAACAAGCGAGTCTATGTATTGATATTTGGACTGTCGTAATCCATGTAGAAAAAGGTTAACGTCTTCACCTTCTGTGCTGGAATGATACTGGAGCCAAATTTCATGTTCTCTAAGCATACAAAACGCGTTCGGCATTTGAATCTCGACCAGACCAACTTGGTAGTGTAAACTCACATCGATAGTCTGTGGTAATTTAACGAAAAAATGCCAAGCCTCATTGTCTGGAAATACAATTGGTGATGTATTGCTAGGCAGGGTCACATAAAAACTCATTGTAAAATTTTGGTCCTTGCAATGGTTGGGTTAGGTAAAATATAGCCGAGACAGCTGGATAACAACACGACCCAGAGTTTTCCCTCTTTGTCGTCGACCGTGCCACGCGTCAGATTAAATAGTGAAAAAACAATGACGACAAATATAACCAAGATTTGAGAGATGAAAACGATTTCCGGGCGTGTCCTTAGTCTACCGAACCAGCTCGAAATGGTCGAACCGATAGAAGACGTGGTGGATCTAGGTCTCTCCTTGATTCCACCGAACGGTCTGATGTTTCTTCCACCACGGGCTCATCCAGATTTAGGCTTTTTACTGTTTCCTCCATCCTTAGTCTTTATATTTCGAAATGTCTCTAGCTGAAATCCAACGGTTGAATGAAGGGTTATAACCGAACCACTTGACTAAATACTCTTTACCACCGACACCTTTTCTTTCTTTCTTGTATAATTTGTTCGATGCGGTACACTTTTTTGTCCCCTACTTTCTGAAGCTCCTCTTTGTAAAACCAACCTTTCACTTCTTCACCTGAATCATCTTTCAAGACGTACGTTACGGGCGTTGTTGTGTTAACTCGGCTCACCGTAAACAGTTCTTCCGTCCACGAAGGGGTATAACCCTTTTTAAAAGTGTTTCGACTTTGGCCGATCCGTACACGATCACCTTCGTTAAATACTTTTCGATAACTTGTATAAAGTATTCCAGACCCTTTCTTGATTAGTCAAATTAACATTCACAGGGGCCATACGAATACTCCTATGATACGAGTGGTTATAGTTGGTGATCAAGTCGTCTACGACATCAATGTAACGAAGACGATTTTTTTTTTGTAAAGTACCGCCACATTTTTTCTTTTAATGTTCGATTGAATCTCTCAACTATAGCCGCCTTAATATCTTCATTCTCAGTGGTAAAGAAATGAATGCCCTCGTCTTTAAGAAATTTTAAAAATGTCTTGTTGACAAATTCACTACCTTTGTCTGTTTGAAAATTTATAGGTTTTCTAGTAGTAAATATTTTACGTACGGCCTCCGCTAGAGCCTTACCCGTTTTGTTCTTTATCGTAATCGCCCAGGCAAATTTGCTAAACACATCGATGCAGGTCACTAGGTAAGAAGCACCACCATTGTACTTTCGTAACATGCGCATATCTATGAGATCCGCTTGAAACTAGTGATTTGTCCCACCGGTGATGGCGGCGCGCCTCTGAAAGCGTCGCCGAAGAGGTTTATGTAACGTGTAGGTATCCTGATGACTTAACCATTCTTTAATTTTCTTAGTTCCAATTTCAGGGTGCTTAAACACGCCGCCGTAGGCACCTGGTCTACTAGGGTTATAGTAATGTCTTTTTAGTGTTTGGTTTTTTCCCACGCGTCCCATTTGGTAGTGCTTGTTTTAGTTTTCTTACTTCTGGTACGTTTCGAGGGTGGTGTTTTTTCTACGTATGTCTTCTTTTTCTTCGAGGGGCGAATTTCAGAGTCAGGTGAGACGGGTTTCGTTTTAGTTTCAGATTCTGTTATGTCTATCGTTTCTTTTTTAGGTTCCGTTATGTTTTCTAGTGGTTTTTCAACCTCGGTCGTTGGGGTATTCACGGCAGGTGGTTTCACATCGACTAATCCTAGGGACTTGTTTCTATAATCGCTAAGTCGCGTCGTGTAGAGCTGTAGTGTCTTTTGATATTGTTTCACTTTGTCATGTGGTGACAAATCTTCCCTATTTAAGATATGTTCCATTTGCATATCCAAAAGGCGTAGACTATCGTTGAGTGTGTCGGGTGGTACATATGGTTTTGGTGCATAGACTCTAATATACGAGGATCCATTAAAAGCATTTTCCTGGCCATCTTTAAAATCCCAAGACACCTTTAAGCACACCGAGGACTGGTCCGAGTAAAGCACCTAGGAAACCGCCGGTCTGCAAAATTTGCTTTCGTCTTTTGACGGTCAATGTCTTTTTGGTAAGTTGTCTCAAGTTCACTTTGTGACGACGCAAACGCCTCTTCTGACCCCGCGTGAGGGGAACGTTGCCTTTTAAGGCATTGTGACAGCACTCGCATAACGTTTTTACGAGTTGTGGCGAAGCATTTTCGACAACGGCTTTCACGGCGGGTGGTTTGGCCCGAGCCAAAAACCTTAACATTTCACCTTGTCGTTTTACCGACTCAGACATGGTTGCTTTTATTTTGGGACGTAAACGACTTGCTGCTCGTAAGAAAAGATACAACTGCGTAATCTCAGATTATCCGGTGTTTCCTGTCGAAGGTCGATCAACAAATAACCATGAGCGGCCGATGTTGCGTCCTTAAAACTTTCCTGGACATACGAAACGCGACCGGGATACATTTGTTTTGCCAAATTTGTAATTTGTGAACCGTCTCTAGGGTTCTTGAACAACACTATGTAATGTGAATTGAGACTGATGGTCCTTTGTTCTTTTTTTTTCCCGAATAGGTTTTGGACAATATACACTAATATTACGATGGTGACTCCCTTTCGTAAACAATTTTGTAATTCGTTCATCTGTTTCCGCCATCAAATCATCGATGACGACTAGACGTCGACGTTTTCCATCCCCCATTGATCCATTTTCTAAGTCAGGAAGACCTTCCACAAACTGAACGTCTTCATGGTATCAAACAAAGGCTGCCACTCCCCGTAACAGTAATAAATTTCCTCTCGTGCAGGATTCATCATCTCTGAAACCTGGGATAAAAATGTTTTGACAAATACTGTTTTACCACTCCCAGTTGGCCCAGCGATCAGAGCCGTAAAGGGATGTTTCCATCTCGGATCCATCGTTTTAAATGGTTGATTTTGCTTTCAGTCAAAAATCTTATACAGGATACCGAGTTACATAACTGTGTTGGGTGAATTTGTATACGTTTAGCATACGCGTATCAGAAAACTTAAAAACCCATGACACTGTACGTTTAACTGTTAGTGGAAAGTGTGGTACCAGCTGTTGCACAGCTGTCACCTGTTGGTTAATGGATACACGGACTCGATGCGGGTCGATCAATACATTCCCATTCAAAAACGGGCAGCGCCGGGGAGGTTCACGGGCGGATCGATACGTAACAGCTGTCACTAATGAGTAACAGGTGTCGCTAATGGTTGTTATACACAAAGTATACGTTAGCGTTGTGTTGGAGAATTTAAACACCATACAACAAAGAAAAGAAATATATCAAATAAAGAAACCAACAAATTAAACAACAAGTAAACAAATAAACAAATTTAAAAATTTAAAATTAAAAAAATAAAATTTAAAAAATTTAAAAATTTAAAAAATTTAAAATTACAAAATTAAATTAAAAAAAATTCAAACTTATTAAAAATAATAATTAAACTAATTAAAAATAAACAAACAAACAACAATTAAACTAATTAAAATTAATTAAAATTTAAAATTAAAATATTTAAAAATTTAAAATCCAATTACGTAACTAGATAATAAGAATTAATTAAAATTTAAAATTATAAAATTAAAATTTAAAAAACAAATTAAAAATAATTAAAAATCAAATAAATAATCAAATTACGTAACTCGTTAATAAAATTTAATTAAAATTTAAAAATTAAAATCAAACTAATTAAAAAACTCATTAAAATTACGTAACTAAGTCACTGACTACGTAACAAGGTCACCGGAGGTGACCTATTGACCTACTCCCCATCTCCACTGCGCCTGCGCCTGTCCATCCCCATCCCCATCCGGAGTATTTTACTATATCTCATTGTTCCTGCGGCTGCGCCTCCCCATCCCTAGTATTTTACTATATCTCGTTGCTCCAGGCTGCGCCTGCGCCTGCGGTCCAAAAGTGACCTTATATTACTGCCGTCACATGATCAACAACACGTGTACAAGCAAACAATCTTTCAATCAGAAACAAGCAAACAATCTTTCAATCAGAAACAAGCAAACAATCTTTCAATCAGAAACAAGCAAACAATCTTTCAATCAGAAACAAGCAAACAATCTTTCAATCAGAAACAAGCAAACTATCTTTCAATCAGAAACAAGCAAACAATTTTTCAATCAGAAACAAGCAAACAATCTTTCAATCAGAAACAAGCAAACTATCTTTTAATCAGAACTTGTTTATTGAACTTCCTGTAAACTGACTTAAGTCAATTAATGTTGGTCACATGACTGAGGTCAGCCAATCAAGAGACTTGCGTACGTCGGTATAGAGGGCCGGGGTGTCTGTTTGACCGCACGGGTTCGAGCCGGCTGAGATGACCCCCATCAGATACAATACGTCGTCTCCACACATCAGGGGTCCGCCTGAGTCCCCCTGCAATACAACGATCATGCGTCAGTCGCATGCGTCAGTCGACTGCGTCGATTGTCATTAGCCAGAGTCACTGAGCGGCCCCAAGAGTCACTGAATGCAGATCTTACCACACAAGAGTCGGACCCTCCATCCAAGTCCCCGGCACAAATCTGACTTAGAGAGTTATAAAGCCCTCCAAACTTTTCCTTGCAATACTTCCCATCTACCACTCGCACTGATGTCTTCATCAAAGACGGTGATGAAACAGCTGGGTAATCTAATGATTGGATCAAAAAGGTAATCTAATGATTGGATCAAACAGGTAATCTAATGATTGGATCAATCAAACAGGTGATCTAATGATTGGATCAATCAAACAGGTGATCTAATGATTGGATCAAACAGGTAATATAATGATTGGATCAATCAAACAGGTAATCTAATGATTGGATCAATCAAACAGGTAATCTAATGATTGGATCAATCAAACAGGTAATCTAATGATTGGATCAAACAGGTAATCTAATGATTGGATCAATCAAACAGGTAATCTAATGATTGGATCAATCAAAGAGGTAATCTAATGATTGGATCAATCAAACAGGTAATCGAATAATTGGACGAACTGTCCCTAGTCAATTGCCTCTCCCCCTAGTCAACTAATGACGTCTCACGTCAACTGCCTCTCCCCCTAGTCCTAGTCAACTAATGACGTCACACGTCAACTGCCTCTCCCCCTAGTCAACTAATGACGTCTCACGTCTATTGCTTCTCACCCTAGTCAACTAATGACGTCTCACGTCAACTGCCTCTCCCCCTAGTCAACTAATGACGTCTCACGTCAATTGCCTCTCCCCCTAGTCAACTAATGACGTCTCACGTCAATTGCCTCTCCCCCTAGTCAACTAATGACGTCTCACGTCAACTGCCTCACCCCTTAGTTAACTAATGACGTCTCACGTCAACTGCCTCTCCCCTAGTCAGCTAATGACGTCTCACGTCTATTGCTTCTCACCCTAGTCAACTAATGACGTCTCACCTGCTGTCCTGGAGGTTGACCCCCAACCCGCCACTGTACAGGCTCCACTTATGGTCTGGTTGGCCTGTGGCAGACAGATTGGGTTGAGATTGGGGTTGTCTTGGAGCGGGGTGGCTCTATCTAGAGTCAGCAGGGCGATATCATAACCTGAAGGTAAGAGTCATGTAACGTCCCCTATCTATCAGCCAAATAGAAGGTGAACGTCCCCGGATTCTTTTTTCGGGGTTATATGCAAATGCCTTACGGCTTAAATGGATGAACACTAACACAACGGCACACTAGGGCTCGAATTCGATGTCTAGGGGAAACTAGTGATACTATTGTAATTAACACTCATCCAATCTACATACAACCTTTAATCAGCGAACACAGTTGTGGCAGAACACAAGGTGAAACTAGATAAAATATTTAATGTATAAGATATCAAAACCCAACTTACAGAGTGTAGGAAAAAACACTATCACAGATTTCTACACTGCCTAAAATAAATAGCCACAGGCCACACAACACTGCTATAGCTTCAAGAATTACTTGGCGACAAGTAATATTATACTAGAAGACTAAATCAACTTAAGAAAGCAAGGCACACACAGGACTTAAGTTCTCTCACGTTCAAATGGTCAGAATCTATTGCCGGACAATATGGACGGCTTGGTCGTAATGGACCGTTTGATCCTGGTAGACTCTTGATCAAGGTAAAACTGCCACGTGTGGCGAGTGTGCGGGGCAATTAAAGACTTCTGCCACAGGGGAGATTATCCTCAACTCATGTAGCCATTGGTTGGGATAGTCATCTGACCAGAATCATTCAATCAGATCTTAATGGAAAATTTCTATGTTGCACAATCACTCCATATAAGGTATTATACAATGTCAAAATAAAAATAGAACCTGACTCGACCTAAGTAGGTCACATCCCCTCCCTTTTTGGAAGTGACAGATAGGTTCCACAAAAACATACATAAGGAACCAATCTGGCAATGAAATAAAAAAAATGTTTTACAAATGTAGTCAATCAAAATCATAATACCAGATGAAAATATCCCTGAACATAAAAGGGAAGTAACTCAAACTTTTACAATTGGTGAAAGGGGAGTAACCCTTCAAAAGGTAATTATACATCAAAATTCCTCAAAAAAGGGTATTACAATATTTCCATGAGGATATTAAAAGTGGTAAACCCGCCAGGGTAAGACCTTTATTTCAATGACTAGCTACAATATCAACTGAGTCATATGAGACATATTATTATAAAAGATTACATATAATCAAAAACCACCTTTAATTAAGGTTCACCTGAACATAAACAAAATATTCAACAGGAATGGAATTTTGAAAAAATCAAAAATCATACCACTCATTTTCATGTTAAAACACAACACTTGTGTATGGTCTTAATGAACCACAAAACATGTCACATGATCAATGTGTACAATAAGATTTTACATCCTTGACAAACAATCAGCCACAACATTATCACTACCCTTAATGTGTGAAATTTCCAGATTAAAATTTTGGAAATATAAGCACCATCTCAATATTCTTTGATTTGTCTGTCCTAACTTAGTGGTAAATTTCAGGGGATCATGGTCAGAAAACACTCTGACTGGATTGGTTGAAGAAGAGACATAGACTTCAAAATGTTGTAATGATAAAACCAAAGCTAAAGCTTCTTTTTCAATAGTAGAGTAATTCTTTTGGTTTTCATTTAACTTCCTGGAAAAAAAGGCAATGGGATGGTCAATTCCCATGTTGTCTTCTTGAAATAGGACTGAGCCAATGGCTAAGTTGCTAGCATCAATGGCAAGTTTAAAGGGCTTACTGAAATTTGGTGCAGCCATAACAGGAGCATTAGATAAAAATGACTTAATGGTTAAAAAAGCTTCTTGACATTTATTTGACCATTCAAACTCAACACCCTTTTTTAATAATGCAGTAAGAGGTTCAGCAATAGCTGAAAAGTTTTGACAGAACCGCCTATAGTAACCAGCCATCCCAAGGAACTTTTTGATTTCTTTACAATTTTTGGGAGGTGGCAACTTTACAATAGCATCTACTTAAGCTTCAATGGGCCGAACTTGGTTCGTTCCCACTTGATAACCCAAATAGGTAATTGAAGCTTTACAGAAATCACTTTTATGTAGGTTTACAGTAAAATTCACTTCAGACAATTTTCTAAACAGGTTAGTCAACTGAACAATATGTTCTTCAAAAGTATTAGAAAATACAACTATATCATCTATGTAGGCCTCACATTGGTCTATGTCAGCAATGACAGAGTTAATGACCCTCTGGAAAGTTTGACCAGCATTTCGCATACCAAAGGGCATACGTTTGTATCTATAAAAACCATTAGGGGTTACAAAAGCAGATATTTCTTTTGCACGGTCAGATAAGGGGATTTGCCAGTATCCTGAAAGTAAATCAATTTTGGAAATTATCTTAGCCTGACCAACTTTATCAATAACGTCTTCTATCCGAGGTAATGGATAGGAATCAGCTTTGGTGAGCGCATTTACCTTCCTAAAGTCGGTCACAAACCTGAAAGATCCACCGTCTTTAGGTACTAGGAGACACGGGGAACTCCAGTTGCTGAAACTGGGCTCAATGATATCATTCTTGAGCATATAATCAATTTCATCTTTTATCAAAGCAGCTTTTTCCGGGTTAACTCTATAGGGGTGTTGTTTGATGGGTTTTGCGCCACCGACGTCTACATCATGAGGTGGAACCTTCGCTTCTTTGGGGACATCCCCAAAAATAGAGGGAAATGTCTCGAATAACTGAGACAATCTATGGCTTTCCTCTGTGGACAAATGCATAAGGTGGACATTCAAATTATCTAAAAAGGAAGAATTTACCAATTTTGGGGGTTTCAATTTATCATGTATCACATCATCAGAAACATTTGAACATACAGGTAAAGTAATTTTAGCTGTGGAATGAAAATTGTTACAATTATCATAATACTTTTTCAGTGAGTTAACATGATACACTGTCTGTTTCCTTCTTCTGTCAGGCGTATTGACAACATAGTTCAAATCACTTAATTTTGAATGCACAGTAAAGGGTCCACAATATCTCAAGGATAACGCATTGTTCAGATTAGGCACTAACACAAGAACTTTGTCGCCTGGATTGAATGTTCGTTTACAAGAACTCTTATCATACAGTCCTTTCATTCTCACTTGGGCCTTTCTTAAATTCTTGTGAGCCATTTCGCACACGGCTTTCAGTCGAACGTGAAAATCGTCAAAGTTTTCCACAGGATGATCGCTGGTACCTGTCCACCGTTCGTGTATCAGCTTCAGGGGACCACGGACAGAATGTCCAAACACAAGTTGAAAAGGAGAGTAGCCTAAAGAGTCCTGGACACAGTCCCTCGCAGCGAAAATAATCCAAGGAACAGTCTCATCCCATTGGGTGTTACTGTTAGCGAACGTTCTTAGCATGGTTTTGAGGGTTTGGTGGAACCTCTCCAGTACGCCTTGAGACTGAGGGTGGTAGGCTGAGCTGGTGATGTGGGTAACGCCTAGCTTGGCTAGTGCTTCCTGAAAATGGTGACTGGTGAAGTTGCTGCCTTGATCTGTTTGCACGATTCTAGGTAATCCAAAGGTAGTGAAGAACCGGGTCATGGCTCTGACTACAGTCTTTGCCTTAATGTTCCGTAAGGGAATCGCCTCGGGAAAACGGGTACTTGAACACATAAAGGTAAGTAGGTACTCGTTGCCCGCCTTGGTTTTAGGCAAGGGACCTACACAGTCCATGACGATTTTAGAAAAAGGTTCTTCTAATACAGGAATCGGACTCAAAGGGGCCTTAGGAATTGTCTGGTTTGGCTTTCCGGCCAACTGACAGTTTGTGCAACTTTTACAGTAACGCGCCACATCATTTCTCATTTTGGGCCAAAAGAACAGTTCTTTGATCTTCGCCGTCGTTTTAGAGACTCCTGGGTGCGCTGACATTGGATGGTCATGTGCCAGCTTAAGTATTTCATGCCGATAAGGTGGAGGGACCCACAGCTGGTTTTTACCCAACCATGGTTCGGCTGGTGAGGCATTCACTGGTATAGCGCGACGAAAGAAGAGGCCGTTCTCGGAGAAATATTCCCCATCGTCAGATGATAGAGATTTTTCGACCGTTGCTTTGAGTTCCGCGTCGACTTGTTGAGCTTTAATGATGTCTTCCTGAGATATTCTCAGGGGTAAGCCCAGGCTTGTGTTTTCTGGAAGCATAGACTCCAGTTTGGGAGTCGAATTTCTTGACGATGATGGTAGGTGTGGTTCAGACGTTGTGTCAGCCAATTGTTTGGTTTGGCTTCTTGTCACCGCGCATGCAGGATACAGTTCATTATCATTATCTGGAACTGTTGACAAAGGGTCTGAAACCGTACAGGGGTATACTTTGCTTCCCGCAAGGTCATTCCCTAGAAGTAGGTGTACTCCTGGGACAGGAATACTATCTATCACACCTAAAATGACCTCACCTTCGACGAGATGATGTTTCGGGGCAAACTTGTGTAGAGGGACCACAGTAGATTTTGTCCCTACTCCCTGGATAATGGAAATCCTTCCGGTGTTCGTTTCGGGTGTAATGTCCATTGAACTTTTCAAAAGAAGTGATTGTGACGCTCCTGTGTCTCTTAGGACGGTGATATTCCGCTGAGACAACGGATCACCTGGTTTGCTAATGATGGCTTCGGCAATAAAAGATGAAAAGTCAACTTTTCTCGATCCCTCGAGATCGGTAGACTCGGAAGAAACTGGATGGTGGCGAGAACAGTCAAAATGTGACTGCACATAATGTGTGGGGATTTGACTACCTTCTTGCGGACACTTAGGGTTAGAGTCCTTTAGAATTCTAGAGTTCATAGTTGAACTGGCTGCTTGAGGGGATAGAGCATAGTGCGCAGAAGTACGCACCACCTCTCTGTTATATTGACGACGTTTGTAACAGTCCTTGACAAGATGACCAGGTCTTTTGCAGAACTGGCATACCGCTCGACGATTGAGAGTTGATCTTGGGTTCTCTCTGGACTGTGATGCCTTCAAGTGTTGGCCAACAGGAAGATTGCTGCCAAAAAGGGGAAGCACGGGGTTGAGGCGGTTTCCTGACACTGGTGGTTTCTTATGCACCAACATATATGTGTCAGCCGACTCAGCAGCCTTCCGGATGTCAGTTATCTTGTTATCCAGTATGTGTAGTCGTATCTCTTCAGGCAGGGACGATAGGAATTCTTCCCTTAGGATAAGTGACCTGAGTTTCTCAAACTCAGAAACTTCCTCCGAGTGTAGCCACCTTGAAAATATTTTCTCCTTTTCAAAGAGAAATTCCACAAATGATTGAGTGGGTAACTTGCGGAGTGTTCGGAATTTTGTCCGATAGGCCTCAGGCGTCAGCTCGTAGGCCTTCAAAATGGCAGTCTTGACCAAACTATAGTTATTTTGAACGTCGTGAGAGAGTGCCTGGTATGTTTTTGCAGCTTTCCCAGTAAGGACCGAGCTCAATAAAGCAGTAATGGAAGTTTCGGGCCATTCACATGTCTTCGCTAAACTCTCAAATGAGTTAAAGAAAACGACCAAATCTGTTTCATCAAATTTAGGAACTAATTTCCCGAATTTGGCAATCACTTGCCCCACCGACAACTTTTTTGGATCTACCAGAGAAGTAACATCACTAACTTGACCAAACTCTAATTCCAACCTCCTCCTATCTAAAGCAATTTTAACCTCTAACTCCTGTTCTTTTAATGCCTTCTCTAAAGCAACTTTCTCCTCCCGGAGTAACACACCAGCCAACAAACTTTCATCAAATACCCCTTCATTAATAAAATGAACAACAATTTTATCTCTCAACACCTCTGACTTCTGCGTAACAGAATAATCCAATTTCAATTCCTTAACAAGACTAATCAAAACTTTTCTACTCAACTTCTCGACCTCCTCAAAAGTGGGATTAGCCAAAAAAGACTCCATAACACTAACTTTCAAATCACAACAAGCCTAGATTCACTAACTTAACACGGTGCGTTGGGCCGTGTACTTGACCTCTTATCGTGACACGTCTGGCTGTTGACCTAGATACCACTAGGCTTGCGCGCGCTGTAAGAACACGGCGCACTGGATAGAAAAACAACTCAATCAAACTAACCTTAGTGCTTACTGATATAACCAACAACTGGAACGACAGATTAAATCCCGGACGGGCCCCCACTTTGTAACGTCCCCTATCTATCAGCCAAATAGAAGGTGAACGTCCCCGGATTCTTTTTTCGGGGTTATATGCAAATGCCTTACGGCTTAAATGGATGAACACTAACACAACGGCACACTAGGGCTCGAATTCGATGTCTAGGGGAAACTAGTGATACTATTGTAATTAACACTCATCCAATCTACATACAACCTTTAATCAGCGAACACAGTTGTGGCAGAACACAAGGTGAAACTAGATAAAATATTTAATGTATAAGATATCAAAACCCAACTTACAGAGTGTAGGAAAAAACACTATCACAGATTTCTACACTGCCTAAAATAAATAGCCACAGGCCACACAACACTGCTATAGCTTCAAGAATTACTTGGCGACAAGTAATATTATACTAGAAGACTAAATCAACTTAAGAAAGCAAGGCACACACAGGACTTAAGTTCTCTCACGTTCAAATGGTCAGAATCTATTGCCGGACAATATGGACGGCTTGGTCGTAATGGACCGTTTGATCCTGGTAGACTCTTGATCAAGGTAAAACTGCCACGTGTGGCGAGTGTGCGGGGCAATTAAAGACTTCTGCCACAGGGGAGATTATCCTCAACTCATGTAGCCATTGGTTGGGATAGTCATCTGACCAGAATCATTCAATCAGATCTTAATGGAAAATTTCTATGTTGCACAATCACTCCATATAAGGTATTATACAATGTCAAAATAAAAATAGAACCTGACTCGACCTAAGTAGGTCACAGTCACAACAATTTGAGTCAGGAGTCAACATACATTTACAAGTAATGATTCAAGAGTCGTACACATAGACACAAGGCTCACAAATTATAATTGATCACACATCTCCATGACCTATAGGAAGAGTGAGGTCCCTGATCTAAGTGATAAGTGAGGTCCCTGATCTAAGTGATAAGTGAGGTCCCCTGACAGAAGAGTGAGGTCCCCTGACAGAAGAGTGAGGTCCCTGACAGAAGAGTGAGGTCCCTGATCTAAGTGATAAGTGAGGTCCCCTGACAGAAGAGTGAGGTCCCTGATCTAAGTGATAAGTGAGGTACCTGACATAAATGAAGATTAAGGTCCCTTTCCTCTGTAGCATATTTACACTGAGTGTAATTAGGGGAGGTAATGAAAATAAACAACAGTTTTTGCTTTAACACAATTGTTATAACTTACTGTAGGTGACATTCTAAAACTTACCGTGGTGACCTTCTAAAACTAACTGTAGGTGACCTTCTAAAAGTTACTGTAGGTGACCTTCTAAAACTTACTGTAGGTGACCTTCTAAAACTTTCTGTAGGTGACCTTCTAAAACTTACAGTCTGTGACCTTCTAAAACTTAATATGTTGACCTTGTAAAACTTACTGTAGGTGACCTAGTTTATCTTACTTTAGGTGAACTTCTAAAACTAACTGTAGGTGACCTTCTAAAACGTACAGAAGGTGACCTTCCAAAACTTACTGTAGGTGACCTTCCAAAACTTACTGTATGTGACCTTCCAAAACTTACTGTAGGTGACCTTCCAAAACTAACTGTAGGTGACCTTGTAAAACTTACTGTAGGTGACCTTCCAAAACTTACTGTAGGTGACCTTCCAAAACTTACTGTAGGTGACCTTGTAAAACTTCCTGTAGGTGACCTTCCAAAACTTACTGTAGGTGACCTTGTAAAACTAACTGTAGGTGACCTTCAAAAACTAACTGTAGGTGACCTTGTAAAACTTACTTGAGGTGACCTTCCAAAACGTACTGTAGGTGACCTTGTAAAACTTACTGTAGGTGACCTTGTAAAACTAACTGTAGGTGACCTTGTAAAACTTACTGTAGGTGACCTTGTAAAACTAACTGTAGGTGACCTTGTAAAACTTACTGTATGTGACCTTGTAAAACTTACTGTAGGTGACCCTATCATACTCTGGGTGTGTGATCACCCGGTACGATGATGTAGACAGCCTCGAGCTGCCTGGTTCCTGCCGTCTGTACTCGCCAAAGGTCAGCTCCGGCCACTTGCCGTCCAGGAAGCTGTGGATGACCCATGCTCTTATTAGCTGACCCTGCATTGGATGACCCATGTTCTTATTAGCTGACCCTACATTGGATGACCCATGTTCTTATTAGATGACCCTAAATTGGATGACCCATGTTCTCATTTGATGACCCTACATTGGATGACCCATGTTCTCATTAGATGACCACAGTTTTCACCATGTACGTTTTTACCAGTCGAACAGCCAGACTAAGGTAAATCAGAGAAGTTCGCATCAGACAAATGCCACAGAAAATGAGCAACGGAAAATTGCGACAGAAGACGGAAAATTGCGCTATTGGAAATGTGCTAAGTGCCCAAAAAGAAAAGTGCGCATTTAGAAAAATGAGCAAAGAAAAATCTTAGTACTCAGAAATTTGAGGCAATAAAATAAAGCGGCAGTAAAAGATATGTCCCATGCCCACTTCTGTACAATTTCTGTACTTTTAGCACACTTTTCTATTTATACATTTGGTTCCATCTGGGAATGGATGAATTGAACGGTTACACTAGAATCGTTGGGAATGGATGAATTGAACGGTTACACTAGAATCGTTGGGAATGGATGAATCGAACGGTTACACTAGAAACCTTACTCAAAGCAGTGAGCGGCTGTGATGACGTGTCGGCTAGAGACGAGGGCCCCACCACACAGGTCGTCTTTGTGGGGGTCACGGGCGATGTACACCATCCAGGGGTAGCGGCCTCGCGCCGCCTCTGTCCCGCCCACAACACGTCTGACACGTGCAGGTAGGCCACACCTGTGGACTGGTTGTTTGATAAATGGTGTGTTAGACCGTGGGTAGGTGGTGTGTTAGACCGTGGGTAGGTGGTGTGTTAGACCGTGTGTAGGTGGTGTGTTAGACCGTGGATACATGATGTGTTAGACCGTGGATACATGATGTGTTAGACCGTGGGTAGGTGGTGTGTTAGACCGTGGATACATGATGTGTTAGACCGTGGATACATGATGTGTTAGACCGTGGGTAGGTGGTGTGTTAGACCGTGGGTAGGTGGTGTGTTAGACCGTGGGTAGGTGGTGTGTTAGACCGTGGGTAGGTGGTGTGTTAGACCGTGGATACATGATGTGTTAGACCGTGGGTAGGTGGTGTGTTAGACCGTGGGTAGGTGGTGTGTTAGACCGTGGGTAGGTGGTGTGTTAGACCGTGGATACATGATGTGTTAGACCGTGGGTAGGTGGTGTGTTAGACCGTGGGTAGGTGGTGTGTTAGACCGTGGGTAGGTGGTGTGTTAGACCGTGGATACATGATGTGTTAGACCGTGGATACATGATGTGTTAGACCGTGGGTAGGTGGTGTGTTAGACCGTGGGTAGGTGGTGTGTTAGACCGTGGATACATGATGTGTTAGACCGTGGATACATGATGTGTTAGACCGTGGGTAGGTGGTGTGTTAGACCGTGGGTAGGTGGTGTGTTAGACCGTGGATACATGATGTGTTAGACCGTGGATACATGATGTGTTAGACCGTGGGTAGGTGGTGTGTTAGACCGTGGGTAGGTGGTGTGTTAGACCGTGGATACATGATGTGTTAGACCGTGGATACATGATGTGTTAGACCGTGGGTAGGTGGTGTGTTAGACCGTGGGTAGGTGGTGTGTTAGACCGTGGATACATGATGTGTTAGACCGTGGATACATGATGTGTTAGACCGTGGGTAGGTGGTGTGTTAGACCGTGGATACATGATGTGTTAGACCGTGGATACATGATGTGTTAGACCGTGGGTAGGTGGTGTGTTAGACCGTGGATACATGATGTGTTAGACCGTGGATACATGATGTGTTAGACCGTGGGTAGGTGGTGTGTTAGACCGTGGGTAGGTGGTGTGTTAGACCGTGGGTAGGTGGTGTGTTAGACCGTGGGTAGGTGGTGTGTTAGACCGTGGGTAGGTGGTGTGTTAGACCGTGGGTAGGTGGTGTGTTAGACCGTGGGTAGGTGGTGTGTTAGACCGTGGATACATGATGTGTTAGACCGTGGGTAGGTGGTGTGTTAGACCGTGGATACATGATGTGTTAGACCGTGGGTAGGTGGTGTGTTAGACCGTGGATACATGATGTGTTAGACCGTGGGTAGGTGGTGTGTTAGACCGTGGGTAGGTGGTGTGTTAGACCGTGGGTAGGTGGTGTGTTAGACCGTGGGTAGGTGGTGTGTTAGACCGTGGGTAGGTGGTGTGCTAGACCGTGGGTAGGTGGTGTGTTAGACCGTGGGTAGGTGGTGTGTTAGACCGTGGATACATGATGTGTTAGACCGTGGATAGGTGGTGTGTTAGACCGTGGGTAGGTGGTGTGTTAGACCGTGGGTAGGTGGTGTGTTAGACCGTGGGTAGGTGGTGTGTTAGACCGTGGGTAGGTGGTGTGTTAGACCGTGGGTAGGTGGTGTGTTAGACCGTGGGTAGGTGGTGTGTTAGACCGTGGGTAGGTGGTGTGTTAGACCGTGGGTAGATGGTGTGTTAGACCGTGGATACATGATGTGTTAGACCGTGGGTAGGTGGTGTGTTAGACCGTGGGTAGGTGGTGTGTTAGACCGTGGATACATGATGTGTTAGACCGTGGATACATGATGTGTTAGACCGTGGGTAGGTGGTGTGTTAGACCGTGGGTAGGTGGTGTGTTAGACCTTGGGTAGGTGGTGTGTTAGACCGTGGGTAGGTGGTGTGTTAGACCGTGGGTAGGTGGTGTGCTAGACCGTGGGTAGGTGGTGTGTTAGACCGTGGATACATGATGTGTTAGACCGTGGGTAGGTGGTGTGCTAGACCGTGGGTAGGTGGTGTGTTAGACCGTGGGTAGGTGGTGTGTTAGACCGTGGATACATGATGTGTTAGACCGTGGATACATGATGTGTTAGACCGTGGATACATGATGTGTTAGACCGTGGATACATGATGTGTTAGACCGTGGGTAGGTGGTGAGTTAGACCGTGGGTAGGTGGTGTGTTAGACCGTGGATACATGATGTGTTAGACCGTGGATACATGATGTGTTAGACCGTGGGTAGGTGGTGTGTTAGACCGTGGATACATGATGTGTTAGACCGTGGGTGGGTGGTGTGTTAGACCGTGGGTAGGTGGTGTGTTAGACCTTGGGTAGGTGGTGTGTTAGACCGTGGGTAGGTGGTGTGTTAGACCGTGGGTGGGTGGTGTGTTAGACCGTGGGTAGGTGGTGTGTTAGACCGTGGGTAGGTGGTGTGTTAGACCGTGGATACATGATGTGTTAGACCGTGGGTAGGTGGTGTGTTAGACCGTGGGTAGGTGGTGTGTTAGACCGTGGGTAGGTGGTGTGTTAGACCGTGGGTAGGTGGTGTGTTAGACCGTGGGTAGGTGGTGTGTTAGACCGTGGGTAGGTGGTGTGTTAGACCGTGGGTAGGTGGTGTGTTAGACCGTGGATACATGATGTGTTAGACCGTGGATACATGATGTGTTAGACCGTGTGTAGGTGGTGTGTTAGACCGTGGGTAGGTGGTGTGTTAGACCGTGGATACATGATGTGTTAGACCGTGGATACATGATGTGTTAGACCGTGGATACATGATGTGTTAGACCGTGGGTAGGTGGTGTGTTAGACCGTGGATACATGATGTGTTAGACCGTGGATACATGATGTGTTAGACCGTGGGTAGGTGGTGTGTTAGACCGTGGATACATGGTGTGTTAGACCGTGGATACATGATGTGTTAGACCGTGGGTAGGTGGTGTGTTAGACCGTGGATACATGATGTGTTAGACCGTGGATACATGATGTGTTAGACCGTGGGTAGGTGGTGTGTTAGACCGTGGATACATGGTGTGTTAGACCGTGGATACATGATGTGTTAGACCGTGGGTAGGTGGTGTGTTAGACCGTGGGTAGGTGGTGTGTTAGACCGTGGGTAGGTGGTGTGTTAGACCGTGGGTAGGTGGTGTGTTAGACCGTGGGTAGGTGGTGTGTTAGACCGTGGGTAGGTGGTGTGTTAGACCGTGGATACATGATGTGTTAGACCGTGGGTAGGTGGTGTGTTAGACCGTGGGTAGGTGGTGTGTTAGACCGTGGATACATGATGTGTTAGACCGTGGGTAGGTGGTGTGTTAGACCGTGGGTAGGTGGTGTGTTAGACCGTGGGTAGGTGGTGTGTTAGACCGTGGGTAGGTGGTGTGTTAGACCGTGGGTAGGTGGTGTGTTAGACCGTGGGTAGGTGGTGTGTTAGACCGTGGATACATGATGTGTTAGACCGTGGGTAGGTGGTGTGTTAGACCGTGGGTAGGTGGTGTGTTAGACCGTGGGTAGGTGGTGTGTTAGACCGTGGATACATGATGTGTTAGACCGTGGGTAGGTGGTGTGTTAGACCGTGGGTAGGTGGTGTGTTAGACCGTGGATACATGATGTGTTAGACCGTGGGTAGGTGGTGTGTTAGACCGTGGGTAGGTGGTGTGTTAGACCGTGGATACATGATGTGTTAGACCGTGGGTAGGTGGTGTGTTAGACCGTGGGTAGGTGGTGTGTTAGACCGTGGGTAGGTGGTGTGTTAGACCGTGGATACATGATGTGTTAGACCGTGGGTAGGTGGTGTGTTAGACCGTGGGTAGGTGGTGTGTTAGACCGTGTGTAGGTGGTGTGTTAGACCGTGGGTAGGTGGTGTGTTAGACCGTGGGTAGGTGGTGTGTTAGACCGTGGATACATGATGTGTTAGACCGTGGGTAGGTGGTGTGTTAGACCGTGTGTAGGTGGTGTGTTAGACCGTGGGTAGGTGGTGTGTTAGACCGTGGGTAGGTGGTGTGTTAGACCGTGGGTAGGTGGTGTGTTAGACCGTGGATACATGATGTGTTAGACCGTGGATACATGATGTGTTAGACCGTGGATACATGATGTGTTAGACCGTGGGTAGGTGGTGTGTTAGACCGTGGATACATGATGTGTTAGACCGTGGATACATGATGTGTTAGACCGTGGGTAGGTGGTGTGTTAGACCGTGGGTAGGTGGTGTGTTAGACCGTGGGTAGGTGGTGTGTTAGACCGTGGATACATGATGTGTTAGACCGTGGGTAGGTGGTGTGTTAGACCGTGTGTAGGTGGTGTGTTAGACCGTGGGTAGGTGGTGTGTTAGACCGTGGGTAGGTGGTGTGTTAGACCGTGGGTAGGTGGTGTGTTAGACCGTGGATACATGATGTGTTAGACCGTGGGTAGGTGGTGTGTTAGACCGTGGGTAGGTGGTGTGTTAGACCGTGGATACATGATGTGTTAGACCGTGGGTAGGTGGTGTGTTAGACCGTGGGTAGGTGGTGTGTTAGACCGTGGGTAGGTGGTGTGTTAGACCGTGGATACATGATGTGTTAGACCGTGGGTAGGTGGTGTGTTAGACCGTGGGTAGGTGGTGTGTTAGACCGTGTGTAGGTGGTGTGTTAGACCGTGGGTAGGTGGTGTGTTAGACCGTGGGTAGGTGGTGTGTTAGACCGTGGGTAGGTGGTGTGTTAGACCGTGGATACATGATGTGTTAGACCGTGGGTGGGTGGTGTGTTAGACCGTGGGTAGGTGGTGTGTTAGACCGTGGGTAGGTGGTGTGTTAGACCGTGGGTAGGTGGTGTGTTAGACCGTGGGTAGGTGGTGTGTTAGACCGTGGGTAGGTGGTGTGTTAGACCGTGGGTAGGTGGTGTGTTAGACCGTGGGTAGGTGGTGTGTTAGACCGTGGGTAGGTGGTGTGTTAGACCGTGGGTAGGTGGTGTGTTAGACCGTGGGTAGGTGGTGTGTTAGACCGTGGATACATGATGTGTTAGACCGTGGGTAGGTGGTGTGTTAGACCGTGGGTAGGTGGTGTGTTAGACCGTGGGTAGGTGGTGTGTTAGACCGTGGATACATGATGTGTTAGACCGTGGGTAGGTGGTGTGTTAGACCGTGGGTAGGTGGTGTGTTAGACCGTGGGTAGGTGGTGTGTTAGACCGTGGATACATGATGTGTTAGACCGTGGGTAGGTGGTGTGTTAGACCGTGGGTAGGTGGTGTGTTAGACCGTGGATACATGATGTGTTAGACCGTGGATACATGATGTGTTAGACCGTGGGTAGGTGGTGTGTTAGACCGTGGATACATGATGTGTTAGACCGTGGATACATGATGTGTTAGACCGTGGGTAGGTGGTGTGTTAGACCGTGGATACATGATGTGTTAGACCGTGGGTAGGTGGTGTGTTAGACCGTGGATACATGATGTGTTAGACCGTGGATACATGATGTGTTAGACCGTGGGTAGGTGGTGTGTTAGACCGTGGGTAGGTGGTGTGTTAGACCGTGGGTAGGTGGTGTGTTAGACCGTGGGTAGGTGGTGTGTTAGACCGTGGGTAGGTGGTGTGTTAGACCGTTGGTAGGTGGTGTGTTAGACCGTGGGTAGGTGGTGTGTTAGACCGTGGGTAGGTGGTGTGTTAGACCGTGGGTAGGTGATGTGTTAGACCGTGGATAGGTGGTGTGTTAGACCGTGGGTAGGTGGTGTGTTAGACCGTGGGTAGGTGGTGTGTTAGACCGTTGGTAGGTGGTGTGTTAGACCGTGGATAGGTGGTGTGTTAGACCGTGGGTAGGTGGTGTGTTAGACCGTGGGTAGGTGGTGTGTTAGACCGTGGATACATGATGTGTTAGACCGTGGATACATGATGTGTTAGACCGTGGGTAGGTGATGTGTTAGACCGTGGATACATGATGTGTTAGACCGTGGATACATGGTGTTTAGACCGTGGATACATGGTCTTTTTAATCAAACGACTTTACTTTATTGACGGGGTCCAAGCTCAGACCCGACTACTTACAGCTGTTTGACGTCTGAATAGTTTGGTCTCTGGTGCTATTGGACAGGTCGCCATATTGGATCAATGTAGGACGCTGAGTAGCAATGTTTAGGCTGACGTGAGGCGCTGGTGAAAAAAAAACTTTTATTCAAACAAATGCTCAAAGTCACAAGGAGGACTTACACTAGACAGACGTACCATACAATCAACTAAAGGGACATGATTGGGCTACTTTTGTTTCATGTCAACTAAATGAAGACATTATTGAAATAAGCGACCTACTTTCAAACTGCGACCTACTTTCAAACTGCGGCCTACTTTCAAACTGCGACCTACTTTCCAACTGCAACCTACTTTCAAACTGCGACCTACTTTCAAACTGCGACCTTGAAGTCGAGCAGCAGATCTGACCTTGAGGACACAGGCTGACGACATTGATGGTCTGTGTGTGGTCACACTTGGGCAAGCAGCTGCCCCTCAGTAGTCGGCAGTCTAAAACATAAAAGTAAACACAAATATAATCAAAAACGAAAACCCAAACATCAACGCAAACCCAAACAAAAACGCAAACACAAACATAAACGCAAACACAAAAACAAACATAAACACACAAACGTAAACACGAACAGAAACCAAGAAACAAACACAAACACAAAAGAAACGCAAATACATAAGCGAAGCAAACAAAAACACAATCATAAACTCAAACATAACCGTAAACCCAAAAACAAACACAAACGTAAACACAAACAAAAATACAAATACTAACGTAATTACAAACGCAAACACTAAATCAAACAAAAACGCAAATACAAACGCAAACCTAAGTCTAAATAATAACGCTGAACATAAACACAAACTTAAATTTAAACATAAAAGCAGAGTGCTCACAGTATAGCAAGGGGCGCCAATTCGCACCCTGTCCGGGCGCCAGCGGAACTACCTGATTCAACTTAGTAAATGACTATAATACCCAATCTTATTCACAGTCTTTCGCACTGTTTAAAACGAACGAATGCGCCATAGCGCTCACGGGAAGGCCTGGGGCGCCAAATCGAACCCTGCCGGGGCGCCAGCGGACGTGCCTGATTCAATTTATTAAACAACTATAAAAATAAAACACAGCTTTCTGCGAACCGAAAGATAGAAGTAAACATAGAGGACATTTAGGAGCGGCTTCTGAACTATTATTGATTAATAATAATAATTAGTAAACAGTACGTACAGTGTATAAAATAAATGAAAGACAGTATTTAAAATATGGATGTTTTACCTACCGTACAGCACTTATCAATCCATGCTAATTATATAATTTTTTTTCAAGACTAAAACAAACTAATAATTCCATCATCTGATTGTACTCACAAATCGTGTCTCGCTGTTGAGGTATGACGTCACTTGGCTTTACTGCCGATAGGTACGTTAGACAGCCCACAACTGTAAACAACCAGACAAGCGACCTTGACATTATCCAATGAATTCACTGAATCAACTTTCAAATGGCTGACTCCAATTATCCAATGAATTCACTGAATCAACTTTCAAATGGCTGACTCCAATTATCCAATGAATTCACTAAATCAACTTTCAAATGGCTGACTTCAATTATCCAATGAATTCACTGAATCAACTTTCAATTGGCTGACTTCAATTATCCAATGAATTCACTGAATCAACTTTCAATTGGCTGACTTCAATTATCCAATGAATTCACTGAATCAACTTTCAATTGGCTAACTCCAATTATCCAATGAATTCACTGAATCAACTTTCAATTGGCTGACTTCAATTATCCAATGAATTCACTGAATCAACTTTCAATTTGCTGACTTCAATTATCCAATGAATTCACTGAATCAACTTTCAATTGGCTGACATTCGTATTTTCTTAAACCCAACCCAATCAAAGTTTGGGCAAGAATGTCTTCGTCAGTCGAGCGATATGTGTGTGTGTGTGTGTTTGTGTGTGTACATATGCGTGTAGTATTCCCCACGTGATCTGGTAGCAGAGATCTATTGACTTAGTCGGGTGGTGTTGGATAGGTCCCCAACTTGACTTAGGTAGGTGGGGCATATCCGGCAGGCCTCAGTCATCAAACGTTTGCTAGTCGCCGTCAGACTATCTTTTCCGACATCAAATGGGTACATTGAGGTTTTCCGACTTCTGATGAACAGCGACACACAGCGAATCACAGCGAATCACAGCGACACACCTGATTGTTATCTTTAAACCCCGCACAGTGTGTCGGTATTGTCAACATGACGTCATCACTGTGTGAACACTAGGCAAACACAAGTTGAAATGCGGGTGTCATTCAGCTTGTCGTTAAAGTAGGTCTTAATACACACACACAGACAGACAAACATACATATATATACTAGCCACAGTTTTAAAACTGATGGGATTAAAGTATGTCTAAAAACACGCAAACAGACATACACATCTCTAATACCAGCCAAGTTTGGAACACTGACGGAATTAATGGGGCGGTGAACGGAAAAAAGTCAAAGAAAAAATTCACAAAAATAAAATTGTATCGGAAAAAAGTCACAGAAAAAGTCACAGAAGAAATGTCACAAGAATCGTTTAAGAAATATTTTGATTTATTTGTTTAGAATTGTAAAATTGTGGGTGTTTATTGGTGTGGGTTAGGGTGGGGCAGGAGCCAATCTTTGATTTTATGAGCAGAATTAAGTCCCTTTTTGATATCTAACTCCGTTAAACTAGACACCCCCCCACACACAATCACCCCCAAACACACCTACTTACCACCCACACACACACACCAAGTCAACCCCACATACACATTGATACCACCTACACAAACCTAGACACCCCACATATACCCACATAGACACTTAGAACCTACAGCCCCCCATATACACACAGACACCCCATACACCCTACATACACCTAGATGTCCCCCCCCCCCCCCCCCCCACAGACCCATACACACCTAAACACCCACACAGACAAACACCTAAACACCTCACACCCATATTAGATACCTAGACGAAACCCCACACACACCTAAACACCCATACACACCTAGACACCCCACACACACCTAAACACCCATACACACCTAGACACCCCACACACACCTAAACTTTTTAGTACATTTCTTCATTTTTTGATATTGCGTGATTTGTGAATAAAAAGAAAGCCTTATTCCTTAAGTGAAATGTAGGCTACGTTTGAATTCTTTTCCAATTTTTTGTCATCAGTTCCAAATGAAGTTGACGCTACATAGGCTACGACTTAAAATAGTAGATCTCCAGAATTGAGTTATCTGCCCATATCTACTTCGTTTGTTGACGCTAAGAACGAAATCAGCCAGCCGTGACAACTCTTCACATTTGAAGACCCTCTGATCGAGAGATCGCTAGTATTTTATCTTGTTAACTCCCCTTTTATTTAGTCATTTGAAAAAAATATATATATATAATAATGTTTAAATCATAAAATATAACTAATAAAATCCTTTTATTAGATTAAACAAGTTAATAAAAAGTCTAGTGACAATTTAAGCGCAATTTCCTTAATTAATTTTTTAGAATTCACAGACCTACGTAAAAATCCTTTCGAACCTCCGCTCATTCGCTATGGTAAAATCCTTTCGAACCTCAGCGCTTTGCATTAAATCATCCTAGGCCTACACGATGCTCAGTTTAAAAATTCTTAATTAATTTTTTGTGACCGAACGAAAGGACATTTTTGAAAACTTTCTTCGGCAATATTGTTCTAAATTATGGCAGGAATCGATTGGTAAATGTTTCAAGTCGCTAAGTGGTCTGGTTGCCGAGATATGGGCCAAAAAATGCATTTTTTTCGAGGTTATTTGGCTTTTCCGGGAAATCCAGGAAGGGATTCCGGGAATTTTTTTGGCCTATGTTCATCCTCGGAACTTGCTTAACATATTTGCTTTTGGAACTAGTGCTCGATATTGCTTCGTTGAGGAGGAGATACGACTTAAAGACGACTTAAAGCTGCGGACACACATCCATCCATACATCCATCCAGAAATGACGAGTTAATAATCGCAATCCCCCAGTATGGAAATTGCGCTAAAAATTAGATATTCTTTCATTGTCATCCAATCCCCACCACTGTGCAAATTTTGGCTTAATGGGAAATGGGAAATGGGTTAATTTAATACTCCAAGATTTGCGGAACCACGAGTATACTGAAAAAAAAAATTCATAAAAAACGTTTTAATAACTAGCGTTTATGTACAATGCATTAAAAAGTAGAAAATAAATTATAGCCTACTATTTAAATTACTATAAAGAAAAGCGAGGGTTACTTTACTATCTTTTGGATACCCTTACTAATGTTTAAGAAGAGACCCACGCTTTTCTTTATAGTAATTTAAATAGTAGTCTATAATTTATTTTCTACTTTTTAGTGCATTAGTACATAAAAGCGTGTTATCAAAACGTTTTTTATGAAATTTGTTTAGTACTTTTTTATTGTTTTTATTTACAATAGAGTTTTATAACTAAAAACCATTGCGCGCCTATTGAACGTGGTGACGCGTGTGGTGTGATTGGATTGAAATGCCTACTAATTTGGTCAAAATTTTAATTAATTCTTAAAAAACTAATTAGGCACACAATTAAGTCAAATTTAATGATGCATTGTCTTCATGTCTTGACCCACGTGCCAATTACGAGCCGTATCTGTCAAGTAGAAGGACCTGCAATTTCGCTCCGGCGTTTCGATCTAGACAGACTGACGACTGACGACAGAGGAAGTGAATAAAATAAAAGCTTGTAAAAGCAAGCTTTTATGTAACAATGCACTAACAAGGAGAAATATTAAATATTGTCAGATTGTATTGTCTTCAAGTCTTGACCCACATGCCAACTTTGAAACGAATCTGTCAGTAAGAAAAGCCCGAAATTCCGCTCGACCGTTTCGATGTAGACAGAAGGCAGGATTAAGACAGACGTCAATGTCACATGTCAATGTCATTTGGCTAATTAGTTGAATCAGAGAATCACTGATGCAGAGACATGAAAAACAAATGTAAAAACAAATGTAAAAACAAATGTAAAAACAATACACCGTTATTGCATGTAAAAAAACTCTTGTTTAATATCTAATTAAAAAAATTCTAGGAATGAAAGAGTTATCTAAGACAAATTGTATAGATAGTTCTAACTAATGGAACGAATTATGCTTCAATCAACAAATTATTTGACATTTCTCTTAAGTCAGGTAACATAAGTCATGACAATTTCTCCGTCAAGACATTAAGTCTCTTAATCAAGGTATATGACGTCATCACAGAAACGTTGGAAAACACTTGGTTAAACAAAATTCTGCTGGGTCAAGCATGGATTCCTCGACCTAAGCTCGTCAGCTACCTGACCATTAGCAGTGGATGGGGGTGGAGGGGTGGGGTCTGGTTAGCAACATTCATGTAATCACAGTATGGTGGGTCAACTCTAAAAATAGATTTGGCATTCAACAAGGGAGGTAAAAACCACACGTTAGTAAAATGTTTCAGTACAACGTCATCATTCCGATATTCCAACACCAAAGGGAGGCAATAGAAAGAAAATGTTTTTCTATAACTCCGCATATAAGCATATATTATATATATATATATATATATATATATATATATATATATATATATATATATATATATATATATATATATATATATATTGTACATTTACATGTGTAAAAATTAAATAATTAGTTATTACAATCACAACAAAATTCTTAGATGTACAATATCCAACGATTGAAATTGTTTTGCTAAATGAGTAAAGACGACACATATACATGACGTGACAATGATCTTGTTGTAAAATCTCAAGAAAAATGTCATGTCACAAAACTAATTAAAAATTGCATAATTGAATTAGTTCTACATGAAACTACAACGATGTATGCAAGCACATTCTCCAAGGTTTTAACAAACTCCATGTTATACAAGAATATAAAAATCTTTTTTTAAACTGCTCTGATTGGCTGTTCAAGTCACATAGTCTGACACATGACAATAGGTGTCACGTGATCTGACACATGACATTGAGTGTCATCTAAATGACATAAAAGTAAAAAAAATAAAAAATTAAAATTATATCCAGGTTAAAATAAGTTAAACATCAACATACATCACCAGATGTCAACATACATCACCAGATGTCAACATACATCACCAGATGTCAACATACAGACCAGGCAACAACATCAGACAAACTCTCGTTTATTCTCGTGAACTCACAAACTAGCTTGATGCCAAGGTCAAGGTGAGAGAACTATTTCATTCAACGTTTGAAAGACAAGCTGTAGCTGATGCTCCTTGTTCTCTTGACCTTGACCCAGAGGTCGGTCAGACCCGCAGCCACACACATACAAGCACACACATACAAGCACACACATACAATCACACACATACAATCACACACATACAATCACACACATAAAAGCACACTCTCTACAGACGGATAGCCAAACACTCCTTACACATACAACCATACACATACACGCACAGTCCCCACATCCCACAAGTTACTGGAACGAGGCTCGAAGTTCTCTGGCACCCAGTGGAAGTGGGGGCCGGAAGTTGTCCAAGATCCTTTTAGAGCCGTTCTCATCACAGCACAGATTCCTGAAGGCGCGGATCTGGGGACACAAAGCTGGGTTCAAATCCTGCTCAGGCGAGAGTGGAGGGGGGAGGGGAAAGACACAGTGGAAGTTTAAGAAAGACAAAGTGGTCGGTGTTAAGAAAGATAAAATGGACGGTAAAACAAAGTGGACGGTAAAATAATATGGACGGTAAAACATTATGGACGGTAAAACATTTGGACGGTAAAACAAAATGGACGGTAAAACAATATGGACGGTAAAACAAAGTGGACGGTAAACAAAGTGGACGGTACAACAAAATGGACGGTAAAACAAAGTGGAGGGTAAAACAAAGTGGAGGGTAAAACAAAGTGGACGGTAAAACAAAGTGGACGGTAAAACAAAGTGGACGGTAAAACAAAGTGGACGGTAAAACAAAGTGGACGGTAAAACAAAATGGACGGTAAAACAAAGTGGACGGTAAAACAAAGTGGACGGTAAAACAAAATGGACGGTAAAACAGAGTGGACGGTAAAACAAAGTGGACGGTAAAACAAAGTGGAGGGTAAAACAAAGTGGACGGTAAAACAAAGTGGACGGTAAAACAAATTGGACGGTAAAACAAAGTGGACGGTAAAACAAAGTGGACGGTAAAACAAAGTGGACGGTAAAACAAAATGGACGGTAAAACAAAGTGGACGGTAAAACAAAGTGGACGGTAAAACAAAGTGGACGGTAAAACAAGCTACCTGTTCAGGTGAGACAGAGATAGGCTGTTGCAGGACAATCCACTGGACACTCTCACAGCAGGGGGGCGTGGTCAGCGATCCCTCGTATGTCCAGTAGTTGCTGATGCTGTCTGTAAAGGTTAAAACGGTTCCATGACAAATGATCTCAGGACAAATGATCTCAGACAAAATATCTCAGACAAAATATCTCACGGACAAATGATCTCAGGACAAATGATCTCAGGACAAATGATCTCAGGACAAATGATCTCAAGGACAAAAGATACCAGGACAAAATATATCAGGACTAATGATATCATGGACAAATGATTTCAGACAAAATATCTCAGACAAAATATCTCACAGCAAAATGTTGATAGTATGTACAATGATTTTAGTTCATTTGAACTTTTTTTAAATTGACTGTCAATATGGTTTTGTTTACTTTCTTTACGCATCATAATTGTGAATAAAATTAATTTGTTAAACTTAACAAGCCATCAAAAGATTTATTAAACTTAATCTTTGTAATGGCCTTTGATTTGAAAAAATAAAAATTAAAACAAACTTTCTCATTTAGCCTGAAAGGTATGATAAATGATAATGTATGAAACAAAGTAACGGTAGCTATACAACAATAATGTTTAAAACATGCGAAATATCTTCAAAAATGTTAATGGGTCTCTAGGTTCGTAACGTAAAATTATTGTTTTTATTGCATGATCAACACAAACATAACGTTTACGTTTCTTTGCTGACAGTACATCGTTTTGATCACACCTCTCCCATACTATGTGATCATGTATTGTGTGAACTCTTGCTCGACATGTTCTAACTCCGCGATGACCGCTGTTTGTCTTAAATAAGCATTAGTCGCCTGATAACTAAGGTGTGACCGACGCATAACTATTGAATTTAGCTATTAGTTGTATTGTTCATGGAAGGCGGATGTCTTTCCCTTAATTAAGGCATGTCTCTACCATCAAAGCGGGCTGCCACCTTGATACGAAGGTGTTTCTCTATTGTTATTTCATCCTCTTTGATCTAGTTTCGTCCACCTGACATGGTTGGATTCTCTCATGTTTGGCAAGCCCGCCTACGAACAATTTCTTTAATCTTCTATAGTAATAATCCTAATTTTAAAATGCAATATACAATTTTAAAAGTGCAATATGATAAATTTATATGGCAAACATTTCTTACAATTATCATATGGGCCTATAAACAATATAAAACTTATTAAACAAAACCATACGACAGTTAATAAAAATTGTTCAGATCAACTAAAATCACCCAACACACTATTAAAATTTAGGTGTGAGATATTTTGTCTGGGATATTTTGTCTGAGATCAATTGTCCGTGGTATCATTTGTCTAGATATATTTTGGTATTTTTTGTCCGTGAGATGATTTGTCCGTGAGATATTTTGTCTGAGATATTTTGTCTGAGATCATTTGTCCTGTCACCGTTAAAACAGGTTTTTAAGGGACATCTTCTGACATAGGGTGACTATTGCTGACATCATGAGCCATCATTTGAAAAAGCGCGGCAAAAGTTTCAACGTGTAGGCCACACTGACCTACTGACCTGCTAATGACCTGACCTACTGACCTGCTAATGACCTGACCTACTGACCTGGCAGAAGAGTTGAGGGGTCAAAGTCCGCGCCTGTATCAGTTTTAAAAGATTTACACTTGACCCTCGTGGCGTTGTCTGAGAGAATCTTGAAAGCTTCGTGGTCAACTGTGCCGACCTACGGACAGAAGATACTGGTCAGTTTCTAGACAGAAGTTACTGGTCAGTTTCTAGACAGAAGGGACTTGTCAGTTTATAGACAGAAGGGACTGGTCAGTTTATAGACAGAAGGGACTGGTCAGTTTATAGACAGAAGGTAATGGCCAGTTTATAGACAGAAGGAACTGGTCAGTTTATAGACAGAAGGGGCTGGTCAGTTTATAGACGGAAGGTAATGGTCAGTTTATAGACAGAGTCACAGAAGGTAATGGTCAGTTTATAGACAGAAGGTACTAGTCAGTTTATAGACAGAAGACATTGGTCAGTTTTTAGACAGAAGGTACTGGTCAGTTTATAGACATAAGGTAATGGTCAGTTTATAGACAGAAAGTAATGGTCACTTTATAGACAGAAAGTAATGGTCAGTTTATAGACAGAAGACATTGGTCAGTTTTTAGACAGAAGGTACTGGTCAGTTTATAGACAGAAGGTAATGGTCAGTTTATAGACAGAAAGTAATGGTCAGTTTATAGACAGAAGGTACTGGTCAGTTTATAGACAGCAGGTAATGGTCAGTTTATAGACAGAAGACATTGGTCAGTTTATAGACGGAAGGGACTGGTCAGTTTATAGACAGATGGGACTGGTCAGTTTATAGACAGAAGATACTGGTCAGTTTATAGACAGAAGGTACTGGTCAGTTTATAGATAGAAGGTACTGGTCAGTTTATAGATAGAAGGGACTGGTCAGTTTATAGACAGAAAGGACTGGTCAGTTTATAGATAGAAGACATTGGTCAGTTTTTAGACAGAGGGTAGCTAACCACTAACTGACCACTAGCTAACCATTAGCTGGTCAATAGCTGACCACTAGCTGACCACTAACTGACTACTAGCTGACCACTAGCTAACAACTAGCTAACCACTAGCTGACCACTAGCTAATCACTAGCTAACCACTAGCTGACCACTAGCTACCAACTAACTGACCACTAGCTACCCACTAACTGACCACTAGCTGACCACTAGCTAACCACTAGCTAACCACTAGCTAATCACTAGCTAAACACTAGCTGACCACTAGCTACCAACTAGCTGACCACTAGCTAACCACTAGCTGACCACTAACTGACTACTAACTGACCACTAGCTAACCACTAGCTAACCACTAGCTAACCACTAGCTAATCACTAGCTAATCAATAGCTGACAAATAGCTACCTACTAGCTGACCACTAGCTACCCACTAACTGACCACTAGCTGACCACTAACTGACCACTAGCTACCCACTAGCTTACCATTAGCTACCTACTAACTGACCACTAGCTGACCACTAGCTAACCGCTAGCTGACCACTAACTGACCACTAACTGACCACTAGCGTACCACTAGCTAACCATTAGCTAATCACTAGCTAATCACTAGCTAACAACTAGCTACCCACTAACTGACCACTAGCTGACCATTAGCTAACCGCTAGCTACCCACTAACTGACCACTATCTAGCCATTAGCTGATCACTAGCTGACCACTAGCTGAACACTAGCTACCCACTTACTGACCACTAGCTGACCACTAACTGACCACTAGCTGACCACTAACTGACCACTAACTGACCATTCGTTACCCACTAACTGACCATTAGCTACCCACTAACTGTCCACTAGCTGACCACTAGCTACCCACTTACTGACCATTAGCTGACCACTAACTGACCACTAGCTGACCACTAACTGACCACTAGCTGACCACTAACTGACCACTAACTGACCACTAGCTGACCACTTACTACCCACTAGCTAACCATTAGCTACCCACTAACTGTCCACTAACTGACCACTAGCTGACCACTAGCTACCCACTAGCTGACCACTAGCTGACCACTAACTGACCACTAGCTGACCACTAACTGACCACTAGCTGACCACTAACTACCCACTAGCTAACCATTAGCTACCCACTAACTGACCATTAGCTACCCACTAACTGTCCACTAACTGACCACTAGCTGACCACTAGCTACCCACTAGCTGACCACTAGCTGACCACTAACTGACCACTAGCTGACCACTAACTTACCACTAGCTGACCACTAACTACCCACTAGCTAACCATTAGCTACCCACTAACTGACCACTAGCTACCCACTAACTGACCACTAGCTACCCACTAACTGTCCACTAACTGACCACTAGCTGACAACTAACTACCCACTAACTGACCATTAGCTACCCACTTACTGACCACTAACTGACCACTAACTGACCACTAACTACCCACTAACTGACCACTAGCTACCCACTAACTGTCCACTAACTGACCACTAACTGACCACTAACTACCCACGAACTGACCATTAGCTACCCACTAAATGACCACTAGCTGACCACTAACTGACCACTAACTGACCACTAGCTACCCACTAACTGACCATTAGCTACCCAATAACTGACCACTAGCTGACCACTAACTGACCACTGACTGACCACTAACTGTCCACTAACTGACCACTAGCTACCCACTAACTGACCACTAGCTGACCACTAACTGACCACTAGCTGACCACTAACTGACCACTAACTGACCACTATCTATCCACTAATTGTCCACTAACTGACCACTAGCTGACCACTAGCTGACCACTAACTGTCCACTAGCTGACCACTAGCTGACCACTAACTACCCACTAACTGTCCATTAGCTGACCACTAGCTGACCACTTACTGACCTTTATAAAAACCCCAAGGACAGCTAGGCCATCAGGTTGTGTTACAGCCTCATTGAATGAACTGTATTTCTCGGCGTTGTAATGAACAAGATGGAGCTGGGAAAGAAAAAAAGTTAGACAACTCTTATTAAACTGTTCACCTGTGATATTACTGGATTACTTCCCATCGACTGTAATTTGTGTGCGTTGAAGTAAGTCAAGACGCTAATGGACTTATCGACCTCAACTAAATGATCAAAGCAACTGTACCGAAGTTGGTATTCTGATTGAGACGTTAGTGAAATGGTAAAAGCATTGACGTAGCATCGCATGCAACTCATGCAGTCAAGCGGAAACATGTTGTGAGCTGGTGTTGCCATGACAACCACAAGTACTCACCTCAGACGGGTACATCTTGCCCTTGTACGTGTGCTCGCTGCCGCACTTGTCGTCCCGGCCCCAGTGGAAGTGGAACTGGACCAGACGGTACTTGCCGCTCCCCAGGGGGCCACCGCTGATAGCTGAGGACAAGGGTGACGTCACATGAGTGGATGAAAGCCTCGAATTGGATTTATTTCAAGAGTCTCGCGCTGATCAATAAAACCTTTTCTGATTGGTCAATTCGGCCTTAGGGATTTCACTAATAAAAATACTTGAGCTGCTCACTGCAGTGATGTAGGCAGTGTCTGACTGTCTAAATGTAGGGGCACTGGCATTTGGTGCTTTGGCCATGTGTAGCATTTGGTGCTTTGGCCAAGGTTAGCATTTGGTGCTTTGGCCAAGGTTAGCATTTGGTGCTTTGGCCATGTGTGGCATTTGGTGCTTTGGCCATGTGTGGCATTTGGTGCTTTGGCCGTGTGTGGCATTTGGTGCTTTGGCCATGTGTAGCATTTGGTGCTTTGGCCAAGGTTAGCATTTGGTGCTTTGGCCAAGGTTAGCATTTGGTGCTTTGGCCATGTGTGGCATTTGGTGCTTTGGCCATGTGTGGCATTTGGTGCTTTGGCCATGTGTGGCATTTGGTGCTTTGGCCATGTGTGGCATTTGGTGCTTTGACCGTGTGTGGCATTTGGTGCTATGGCCAAGTTTAACATTTGGTGCTATGGCAGTAGTACTATATTTACTTGAGATGTATTCTTCATTTTATTAAATACATTAAAACATACACACATGCACATACCCACCAACTTACATACGTAAATACACATACGAATGTTAAGAGAGTATGATAGTTCGTCATAAAGTTGACAAGTCAATAAGTCAATACATAGACACAAAGTTGACAACAATATTTTTTTAAATGTTACACAAGACAAGACATTGACTAACTGTAGACAACAGAGACGGCCATGAGAGGATGGCCATGAGAGGATGGCCATTAGAGGATGGCCATTAGAGGATGGCCTCAGATTTGACGGTCGACATTAAGCTGGTCACTTACTGGACTCCTCGTTGATGTTGGCCTTGTATGAGTGGCCATTGTTCTCGACACTGAGGTTCCTCTCTGTCTTGTAGTTGATGACCAGCGGGTTGTTGGCCAGGGTCTCGTCAAACTTGGCTTGACCAGGGTCAATGTCCACAGGACTCTGGCGGGGGCCACCTGCCTCGGGGAACTCTTTAGCCCAGGTGTGTGGGCCTGTGGGGAGAGGTTGTGTGAGAGGTTGTGTGAGAGAGGTTGTGTGAGGTTGTGTGAGAGGTTGTGTGAGAGGTTGTGTGAGAGGTTGTGTGAGAGGTTGTGTGAGAGAGGTTGTGTGAGAGGTTGTGTGAGAGAGGTTGTGTGAGAGGTTGTGTGAGAGGTTGTGTGAGAGGTTGTGTGAGAGGTTGTGTGAGAGGTTGTGTGAGAGGTTGTGTGAGAGGTTGTGTGAGAGGTTGTGTGAGAGGTTGTGTGAGAGGTTGTGTGAGAGGTTGTGTGAGAGGTTGTGTGAGAGGTGTGAGAGGTTGTGTGAGAGGTTGTGTGAGAGAGGTTGTGTGAGAGAGGTTGTGTGAGAGGTTGTGTGAGAGGTTGTGTGAGAGGTTGTGTGAGAGGTTGTGTGAGAGGTTGTGTGAGAGGTTGTGTGAGAGGTGTGAGAGGTTGTGTGAGAGGTTGTGTGAGAGGTTGTGTGAGAGGTTGTGTGAGAGAGGTTGTGTGAGAGAGGTTGTGTGAAAGGTTGTGTGAGAGGTTGTGTGAGAGGTTGTGTGAGAGGTTGTGTGAGAGGTGTGAGAGGTTGTGTGAGAGGTTGTGTGAGAGAGGTTGTGTGAGAGGTTGTGTGAGAGGTTGTGTGAGAGGTTGTGTGAGAGGTTGTGTGAGAGGTTGTGTGAGAGGTTGTGTGAGAGGTGTGAGAGGTTGTGTGAGAGGTTGTGTGAGAGGTTGTGTGAGAGGTTGTGTGAGAGAGGTTGTGTGAGAGGTTGTGTGAGAGGTGTGAGAGGTTGTGTGAGAGGTGTGAGAGGTTGTGTGAGAGGTTGTGTGAGAGGTTGTGTGAGAGGTTGTGTGAGAGAGGATGTGTGAGAGAGGTTGTGTAAGAGGTTGTGTGAGAGGTTGTGTGAGAGGTTGTGTGAGAGATGTGAGAGGTTGTGTGAGAGGTTGTGTGCGAGGTGTGAGAGGTTGTGTGAGAGAGGTTGTGTGAGAGGTTGTGTGAGAGGTTGTGTGAGAGGTTGTGTGAGAGGTGTGAGAGGTTGTGTGAGAGGTTGTGTGAGAGGTTGTGTGAGAGGTTGTGTGAGAGAGGATGTGTGAGAGAGGTTGTGTGAGAGGTTGTGTGAGAGGTTGTGTGAGAGGTTGTGTGAGAGATGTGAGAGGTTGTGTGAGAGGTTGTATGAGAGGTTGTGTGAGAGGTTGTGTGAGAGAGGTTGTGTGAGAGGTTGTGTGAGAGGTGTGAGAGGTTGTGTGAGAGGTGTGAGAGGTGTGAGAGAGGTGTGAGAGAGGTTGTGTGAGAGAGGTTGTGTGAGAGGTTGTGTGAGAGGTGTGAGAGGTTGTGTGAGAGGTGTGAGAGATGTGAGAGAGGTGTGAGAGAGGTTGTGTGAGAGGTTGTGTGAGAGGTTGTGTGAGAGGTGTGAGAGGTGTGAGAGAGGTGTGTGAGAGGTTGTGTGAGAGGTTGTGAGAGAGGTTGTGTGAGAGGTTGTGTGAGAGGTTGTGTGAGAGAGGTTGTGTGAGAGAGGTTGTGTGAGAGGTTGTGTGAGAGGTTGTGTGAGAGGTTGTGTGAGAGGTTGTGTGAGAGGTGTGAGAGGTGTGAGAGAGGTGTGTGAGAGGTTGTGTGAGAGAGGTTGTGTGAGAGGTTGTGTGAGAGGTTGTGTGAGAGGTTGTGTGAGAGGTTGTGTGAGAGGTGTGAGAGGTTGTGTGAGAGGTGTGAGAGATGTGAGAGAGGTGTGAGAGATGTTGTGTGAGAGGTTGTGTGAGAGGTTGTGTGAGAGGTTGTGTGAGAGGTTGTGTGAGAGAGGTTGTGTGAGAGGTTGTGTGAGAGGTGTGAGAGGTTGTGTGAGAGGTGTGAGAGGTGTGAGAGAGGCGTGAGAGAGGTTGTGTGAGAGAGGTTGTGTGAGAGGTTGTGTGAGAGGTGGGAGAGGTTGTGTGAGAGGTGTGAGAGATGTGAGAGAGGTGTGAGAGAGGTTGTGTGAGAGGTTGTGTGAGAGGTTGTGTGAGAGGTGTGAGAGGTGTGAGAGAGGTGTGTGAGAGGTTGTGTGAGAGGTTGTGAGAGAGGTTGTGTGAGAGGTTGTGTGAGAGGTTGTGTGAGAAAGGTTGTGTGAGAGGTTGTGTGAGAGAGGTTGTGTGAGAGAGGTTGTGTGAGAGGTTGTGTGAAAGGTTGTGTGAGAGGTTGTGTGAGAGGTTGTGTGAGAGGTGTGAGAGGTGTGAGAGAGGTGTGTGAGAGGTTGTGTGAGAGAGGTTGTGTGAGAGGTTGTGTGAGAGGTTGTGTGAGAGCTTGTGTGAGAGGTTGTGTGAGAGGTGTGAGAGGTTGTGTGAGAGGTGTGAGAGATGTGAGAGAGGTGGGAGAGAGGTTGTGTGAGAGGTTGTGTGAGAGGTTGTGTGAGAGGTTGTGTGAGAGGTTGTGTGAGAGAGGTTGTGTGAGAGGTTGTGTGAGAGGTTGTGTGAGAGGTTGTGTGAGAGGTTGTGTGAGAGGTGTGAGAGGTGTGAGAGAGGTGTGAGAGAGGTTGTGTGAGAGAGGTTGTTTTAGTTGTGTGTGAGAGGTTGTGTGAGAGGTTGTGTGAGAGGTTGTGTGAGAGGTTGTGTGAGAGGTGTGAGAGGTGTGAGAGAGGTGTGTGAGAGGTTGTGTGAGAGAGGTTGTGTAAGAGGTTGTGTGAGAGGTTGTGTGAGAGGTTGTGTAAGAGGTTGTGTGAGAGGTTGTGTGAGAGGTGTGAGAGGTGTGAGAGAGGTGTGTGAGAGGTTGTGTGAGAGAGGTTGTGTGAGAGGTTGTGTGAGAGGTTGTGTGAAGGGTTGTGTGAGAGGTTGTGTGAGAGAGGTTGTTTTAGTTGTGTGTGAGAGGTTGTGTGAGATGTTGTGTGAGAGGTTGTGTGAGAGGTGTGAGAGGTGTGAGAGGTGTGAGAGAGGTGTGAGAGAGGTTGTGTGAGAGAGGTTGTTTTAGTTGTGTGTGAGAGGTTGTGTGAGAGGTTGTGTGAGAGGTTGTGTGAGAGGTTGTGTGAGAGGTGTGAGAGGTGTGAGAGAGGTTTGTGAGAGGTTGTGTGAGAGGTGTGAGAGGTGTGAGAGAGGTGTGTGAGAGGTTGTGTGAGAGAGGTTGTGTGAGAGGTTGTGTGAGAGGTTGTGTGAGAGGTTGTGTGAGAGGTTGTGTGAGAGGTGTAAGAGGTGTGAGAGAGGTGTGAGAGAGGTTGTGTGAGAGAGGTTGTTTTAGTTGTGTGTGAGAGGTTGTGTGAGAGGTTGTGTGAGAGGTTGTGTGAGAGGTGTGAGAGGTGTGAGAGAGGTGTGAGAGAGGCTGTGTGAGAGAGGTTGTTTTAGTTGTGTGTGAGAGGTTGTGTGAGAGGTTGTGTGAGAGGTTGTGTGAGAGGTGTGAGAGGTGTGAGAGAGGTGTGAGAGAGGTTGTGTGAGAGAGGTTGTTTTAGTTGTGTGTAAGAGGTTGTGTGAGAGGTTGTGTTAGAGGTGTGAGAGAGGTTGTGTGAGAGAGGTTGTGTAAGAGAGGTGTGAGAGAGGTTGTGTGAGAGAGGTTGTTTTAGTTGTGTGTGAGAGGTTGTGTGAGAGGTTGTGTGAGAGAGGTTGTGTGAGAGAGGTTGTTTTAGTTGTGTGTGAGAAAGGTCGTTTCAGTTGTATGTGAGAGGTTGTGTGAGAGGTTGTGTGAGAGGTTGTGTGAGAGATTGTGTGAGAGGTTCTGTGAGAGGTTGTGTGAGAGGTTGTGAGAGAGGTGTGTGAGAGATTGTGTGAGAGGTTCTGTGAGAGGTTGTGTGAGAGGTTGTGTGAGAGATTGTGTGAGAGGTTCTGTGAGAGGTTGTGTGAGAGGTTGTGAGAGAGGTGTGTGAGAGGTTGTGTGAGAGGTTCTGTGAGAGGTTGTGTGAGAGGTTGTGTGAGAGAGGTTGTGTGAGAGAGGTGTGAGAGAGGTTGTGTGAGAGGTTGTGTGAGAGGTTGTGTGAGAGGTTGTGTGAGAGGTGTGAGAGACGTGTGAGAGAGGTTGTGTGAGAGACGTGTGAGAGAGGTTGTGTGAGAGGTTGTGTGCGAGGTGTGAGAGGTTGTGTGAGAGGTGTGAGAGGTTTTGTGAGAGGTGTGAGAGGTTGTGTGAGAGACGTGTGAGAGAGGTTGTGTGAGAGGTTGTGTGAGAGGTTCTGTGAGAGGTTGTGTGAGAGGTTGTGTGAGAGAGGTTGTGTGAGAGTTGTGAGAGGTTGTGTGAGAGGTGTGAGAGGTTGTGTGAGAGAGGTTGTTTTAGTTGTGTGTTAGAGGTTGTGTGAGAGGTTGTGTGAGAGGTTGTGTGAGAGGTGTGAGAGGTTGTGTGAGAGGTGTGAGAGATGTGAGAGAGGTGTGAGAGAGGTTGTGTGAGAGGTTGTGTGAGAGGTTGTGTGAGAGGTGTGAGAGGTGTGAGAGAGGTGTGTGAGAGGTTGTGTGAGAGGTTGTGAGAGAGGTTGTGTGAGAGGTTGTGTGAGAGGTTGTGTGAGAGAGGTTGTGTGAGAGAGGTTGTGTGAGAGGTTGTGTGAGAGGTTGTGTGAGAGGTTGTGTGAGAGGTTGTGTGAGAGGTGTGAGAGGTGTGAGAGAGGTGTGTGAGAGGTTGTGTGAGAGAGGTTGTGTGAGAGGTTGTGTGAGAGGTTGTGTGAGAGGTTGTGTGAGAGGTTGTGTGAGAGGTGTGAGAGGTTGTGTGAGAGGTGTGAGAGATGTGAGAGAGGTGTGAGAGATGTTGTGTGAGAGGTTGTGTGAGAGGTTGTGTGAGAGGTTGTGTGAGAGGTTGTGTGAGAGAGGTTGTGTGAGAGGTTGTGTGAGAGGTGTGAGAGGTTGTGTGAGAGGTGTGAGAGGTGTGAGAGAGGCGTGAGAGAGGTTGTGTGAGAGAGGTTGTGTGAGAGGTTGTGTGAGAGGTGGGAGAGGTTGTGTGAGAGGTGTGAGAGATGTGAGAGAGGTGTGAGAGAGGTTGTGTGAGAGGTTGTGTGAGAGGTTGTGTGAGAGGTGTGAGAGGTGTGAGAGAGGTGTGTGAGAGGTTGTGTGAGAGGTTGTGAGAGAGGTTGTGTGAGAGGTTGTGTGAGAGG